TAAAGTTGGAAGTCTGGAATTGTGATATCAGTACTGTTGCTTTTTTTGGTCCAGACTTGCTTTGGCTATTTCGTGGTTCATACCAATTTTTGGATTGTTTTCTCTACCTTAGAAAAGAATGATATTGAAATTTGGATGGGTATTGCATTGACTTTATAGTTTGCCTTTGATAGTAAGGCCATTTTCACTAAATTAGTCTGCCTATCCATGAACATGGGAGGTCTTTCCACTTCCTGGTATCTTCAGTTTCTTTTTTTTAGAGCTTTATAATTTTTGCTATAAAAGTTTTTCACTTGGTTAGATTTATCCTAGATTTTTTTAAAGGCTATTATAAACAATAGGTAGGATTTTAATATCCTTTGATATATTGATTTTTTTCCAGAAAAATTACAAATTACACTCTAACAGAGCTGGATTTATTGCTTCCTGATTATCAGTGATCTGGTAATCTATCAAGATCTACAAGGTTTTGTAGAAGATAGGTAGGAGAGAGAAGATTGATCTGAGAGTGGCACCAGGCTATGGAAAAAACAGAAAAGTAAGGATATATATCTAGCAAGATTCTCATATACCTAAGTTTATTAAATTTAAATGAAAGTTCTTGCTGCCTGTCAGTGTCTCACACCTGTAGTCCTAGCAACTCAAGAGGATAAGATCTGAGGATTGTAATTCAAAGCTGGCCTGGACAGGGAGGTCCAGGAAACTTTTATCTACATTAACCACCAAAAACCAAAAACAACAACCATGGCTTAAGTGGTAGAGGGCTAGCCTTGAGGATAAGAGTTCAAAGATAGCACTCAGGCCCTGAGTTTAAGCTCTAGGACTGACACATGTATATGACAAACAGGCATGAAAATTCTTTTAAACTGTTTGTCTTTAGTTTCTTTTTTTTCCTTCTTATTATTAAAGTACCTTTTCTTTTTTTTTTTAGTAAAAAGCTATTAATGTTCTCTTTCTTTCTTTATTTCCTTCCTTCCTTCCTTCCTTTCTTTTGTTGCCAGTCCTGGGACTTGAACTCAGGGCCTGGGCACTGTCCCTGAGCTTCTTTTGCTCAAGGCTAGTGCTCTACCACTTGAGCCACAGAGCCATTTCCAGCCTTTTTTGTTTATGTGGTACTGAGGATTCAAATCCAGGGCTTCATGCTTGCTAGGCAAGCACTCTACCACTAAGCCACATTTGCAGTTCTTAATGTCCTGTCTTGATGAAATGATTAGCAACCCAAATATTTTTCCACTTAAAAAATTTATTTTAGCAATTCCTGAAATCCAGGAAACCAATGCATTAAACTATATTACCTCCCTTAAATGAATACCTTGGGGGCTGGGAAGGTGGCTCAGTGGTAGAGCGCTTGCCTTGCATGCCTGAGGCCCTGGGTTCGATTCCTCAGCACCATATAAGCAAAAAAGCAAAAAGCCGGAAGTGGCGCTGTAGCTCAAGTGGTAGAGTGCTAGCCTTGAGCTGAAGAGCTGAGGGACAGCGCCCAGGCCCAGAGTTCAGGCCCCATAACCGGACCCAAAATTAAAAAAAAAAAAAAATGAATACCTTGGAACAAGAAGTTTATAGAATTGTCTGAATCTGTTGTTAAATTTATAGTAAAGATTGTTAGAGTATGTTTCGCCAAAAGATAGGCTTTTACAAAGATTATACAGTTAAACTGTAGAGAAGTATCTTCTGTGAATGTAGGTACAAAAACCCAACAGATCATAAGTAAAATTAGAAATGAAGCTATGGCTCAAATAGTAAAGCTAGTCTTGATCAAAAAAAAAAGCTCAGGTACAGCTCCCTAGTCTTGAGTTCAAGCTCTAGGATTGGCATGTGCACACACGCAGAAACACACACATACACACGCACACACCCCAACTAGCAAACTTAATCAGTTAACATAAAACAAAGTATTACAGCTGGGCACCGGTGGCTCACACTTGTAATCCTAGCTAAAGTCAGGAAGCTGAGATTTGAGGATTGTGGTTCAAAGCCAGCCCAGGCAGGAAAGTCCATAAAACTCCTATCTCCAATAAACCACCAGAAAACTGGAAGTGGTGCTGTGGCTCAAGTGGTAGAGCACTCACCTTGAGCTGAAGAATTGAGGGACAGCGCCCAGGCCCAGAGTTCAAGCCCCACTACCAACAACAACAAAAGTATTATTCCGTACAGTGATCAAGTGGGTATGCCAGGAATGTTGAGTTCATTTAACATCTGGAAGTCACTGTAATATACCATCTTAATAGGCTAAAGAGCATAGGCTTGCATAGTTATCTCAACCAACAAGGAATGTTTGTCACAATTCAACTCCTTTCAAGATTAATTAAAAATAACCATGTGTAGTGGCTCATACCTGGAATCCTAGTGGAAGACAAATTCAAGAACAGAAGGAGGAAGACCCTATCCAAAATAAAACAAAATAGGAATACCAGGGAATTTAACCTGATGAAGAACCACCTACAAAAATCCTTACAGCGGCTGGGAAGGTGGCCCAGTGGTAGAGTGCTTGCCTTGCATGCATGAGGCCCTGGGTTCAATTCCTCAGCACCACATAAGCAGAAAAAGCCGGGAGTGGTGCTGCGGTTCAAGTGATAGAGTGCTAGCCTTGAGCTGAAGAGCTCAGGGACAGCGCCCAGGCCCAGAAACAAAACAAACAAAATCCTTACAGCTAATATATAATGAAAAGAACTTTCCTTCCTTTCAAGAATAAGAAAAGATTGCCTGCTTTTGTTCTTCTATTCAGTATTGTACTCAAAAGGTCTAGCCAAGACAGACAAATAAAAGTCCCCAGAGTGGAAAGGAGACATAAAACTATCACTGTTCTCAGATACCAAGACTTTGAGTATAGAAAATGCTAAGGGATTATTTTTCAACTAAGAAGTTCAGCAAGTCACAAAATCAGTATACAAAGTCAGTTACATATTTATATATTAACCATACACAATTCAAAAATGAAAGAAAATAATCCTATTTGTAGTAAAATAAAAAAATAGAATATTTAGCAATAACTTTAACAAAAAGAGCATAAAAGATACATTCATAAAAACGCAATACATTGTTGCTTTGTATCTAAATCAATAGAAAGACCAGGTCTATTTCCCTGATTAATTAGTATTGTTAAGATGGCAAGACCATCACCATTCCAAAATAGATGTGCAACTTTAACACAGTCCATTTCAAAGTTTCAACAGACTTCTTTGCAGAAATTGACAGCACAAGGAAACTATATCATATAAAAGAACAATCATGAAAAAGGACAAAGTGTAAAATTCACTTTCTGATGTTAAACTTTAAAGCTGCAAGTAATGAAGAAAGTGTGCCACTGGCATAGGGCAGACATAGAGATCTGTGGAATCCAGTAGAGAGCCCAGAGAGATGCATCATACAATCCCCAGATTTCTGGCCAGAATGACCAGTCTATGCAGTAGAGAATGGTTCAGGGACAACTGGACATATACTGGCAGAGTAATGAAGCTACATCATACCTTATGCAAAAATTCACTCAAAATGGATCAAAGACCTGAGTGCATTTTGGATTTGACAGTAGATTCTTACATAATATCAAAAGCCCAAGCAACAAAAGGAAAAACAGATAACATGTCTCATCAAAACTAGCATGCAGCTAGGTGCTGGTGGCTCACACCTGTGATCCTAGCTACTCAGGAGGCTGAGATCTGAGGATCACAGTTCAAAGCCAAACCAGGCAGGAACATCTGTGAGACTCTTATCTCCATTTAACCACGAGAAAACCAGAAGTGGCGCTGTGACTCAAGTGGTAGAGCACTAGCCTTGAGCTGAAGAGTGCAGAGACAGCGCCCAGGCTCAGAGTTCAAGACCCATGACTGACAAAACAAAACAAAAAACTAGCATGCTTCAAAAGACATTATAAGTTAAAACAAAATAGCCACTGAATGGGAAAAGGTATTTACAAATCATCTGTTAAGAAACTTGGGCTGGGAAGGTGGCTCAGTGGTAGAGCACTTCCTTTGCATGCATGAGGCCCTGGATTCACTTCTGGAAGTGGCGCTGTGGCTCAAGTGGTAAAGTGCTAGCCTTGAGCTGAAGAGCTGAGGGACAGTGCCCAGGCCCAGAGTTCAGGCCCCAGGACCGGACCAAAAAAGAAAGAAAGAAAGGAAGGAAGGAAGGAAGGAAAGAAAGAAAGAAACTTGTGGCTGGAGTATGTATAGACTCTTTCAGTTCAGTACTAAAAATGATTAGAAAACCTAATTAAAATAGGCAAAAGACTTGAGTAGACATTTTTCCAAAAAAGATCTAAAAGTATTAAATAAGAACATGACAAGATGTCCAACATCTTTAGCGGTCTGAGAAATGCAAATCAAAACCACAATGAAACACCGTACATAGGATGATTAAAATTAAAAAACAAAATAGCAAGTTTTAGTGAGGATGTGGAGACTAAAGGACATTGCTTCTGCTACTGGAATTTTGGGGAATGCCTGGCAATTCCTGTAACAGTTGAGCATGGTCCCCCTGTAATCTAGCAGTTCCTCACTTAGATATATACTCAAGAGAACTGAAACATCCATGCAACTCTCACAGTAGCCAAGACCTGAAAACAGCCCATGTAAAAGAACAAAATTTGTCTTAACCATAAAGTAGCAACAAAAAGAACTGGCATTTTCTACAGCATGGCTGATCATTAACAATATATGAAGTGAATAAAAGTTGTATATTGTGTGATTCCATTTATACAAAATTTCCAGAGTAAGCAGACAATAGAGACAGAAATGGATAAGGAGTTATATAATGCAGTAATACAGAGAATGATGACTGAAATAGTTTCATTTTGGGTGAAGAAAGTATTCCAAAGTTGATTATGGTGTTGATTGCACAACTGTGGAAGTATACTGAAAACAACTGAATGTTCTGCTTGAAATTAGTGACTTGTGGAGAGAGTGAATTATATTTCAATTAGTAGGTTACTTAAAGTTTGAAATGAATTCTAGGAAATGGACAAAAGGGTTTTTTTCTTTCTTTTTTTCCTTTTTCTTTTTAAGGTTATTCAAAGGCCGGGCACAGTGGCTCATGCCCACAGTCCAACTATCCAGGAAGCAGAAATCAGAAAGATTGTGATTCAGGGCCAACCAGAGCAAAAAGTTAGAACAGTCCCAGCTACTAAGGAGGCTATAGGTAGGAGGGTTGTGGTTGATGCAAGCCCTGGGCAGAAACTCAAAAGAGGGCCAGGAGCATGGTTCACGTAGTAGAGACCTTGACTTGCAAGCACGAGGTCCTGAGTTCAAACTCCCATACCACCAAGGATGGATAGATGGATGGATGGATGGATGGATGGATGGATGGATGGATGGATGGATGGATGGATAGATGGATGCATATATACATACATACATACATGTATGCATGCATGCATACATACATACTAGCTAGGCTTTCAGGATATTAAAGAATATCCCAGGGTGCTTTTTTTTTTTTTTTTTTTGTCAGTCGTGGGGCTTGAACTCCAGGCCTGGGCACTGTCCCTCAGCACTTCAGCTCAAGGCTAATGCTCTACCACTTGAGCCACAGCACCACTTCCCATTTTCTGAGTGGTTTATTGGCAATAAGAGTCTCATAGACTTTCCTGCTCGGGCTGGCTTTGAGCTGTGATCCTCAGATCTCAGCCTCCTGAGTAGCTAAGATTACAAGCATGAGTCACCAGCGCCCGGCTAAGTTGCTTTTCTTTAGCACTAAGTCTGTTTTCTTTCCTTTCCAGAGCTAAGCCTGTCTGCTGGGTGCCTGCAGCTGGAACACAAGAGGAGAGATTTCACCTCTGCTGGGAATAGGAAGCTCTACTTTGATACTCATGCTTTAGTGTGCCTTCTGGAAGAAAATGGTAATTCTCTCTCCCCTGGGGGCCCTGGAGTATTTCCTTTACTTCCTACTTGTTCTACTCATTTACTTCCTCGTGTTTCTCTTTGACTTTCAGATCTACAGGCAGAGTTTTGATCAGTGTCTTTCTAGTTTGTGTGTGTGTGTGTGCACGCGTGCGCGCGCGCGTGTGTGTGTGTGTGTGTGTGTGTGTGCGCGCGCACGCGCACGTGTGCACTGGGGCTTGAACTCAGGGCCTGGGCCCTTCCCTAAACTTTCTTTGCTCAAAGCTAATGCGCTACCTCTTGAGCTCTGCTTCCACCTGTTCCACGGTTAACTGGAGATAAAGAGTCTCCAGCTTATGCTGGCTTAGTACCTTAATTCTCAGGTCTCAACCTCCTAAATTAGCTAGGACTACGGCCTGAGCTACCAGCATCCCGCTTGATCAGTGTCTCTTTTGAAGTCTTCATTTTTGCTTAAAGACATTTTTGCTTCATCAATACAATGAAGACTTTCACATATTTTTCTCTTTGTCAAAGTAAACTGAATTTTTATAATAGTGCTTTAGAAGTAGAGTGTCAGATTGGGTGGGGGAGTGGGGGGAGGATGGAAAGGGATGGGAAGGGAAAACAAAGGAGGAGGCTACAATACTTGATAAGAAATGTACTCATTATCTTGCCCATGTAATTGTAACCCCTTTGTACAGTATTTTCACAATAAAAATTTAAAAAAACGAAGTAGAGTGTCAGATAAAAATTTGGACACAAGTCAGCAAAACTCAAGAATGATTCCTATGATAACAGCATCTGAAACACAAAAATGACAGTTCCATCACTGTGCATCCTGTGTGCTTTTCAAGCTTTTATGAGATGATGTTGCTCAGTAGCCATTATATCACAGAGGTCGTTACCCCTCTCTGTGCTCACAGGATCGTCTACTGCTACTGCAAGTGCATCTGGAATGGAGGGGGCTTGTCATACTGAGAGTCAGACACATTTATTCTTTGAATTCTCATTCTCAGCACATTCTTAAGATCAGAATTTCAAATGAACCTAGGTTATGCCTTTGAAACATAAACATATCTGTTTTCATTCAACTGACTAGTTGTTTACCCAGTTGTACATGTTTGAATTTGAACAGCTATCTTTACTCAGCAGACTTGCTTTTCACCATTAAAACAGGGCACTCCGATGAGTCACTGCCAGGCTTCAGTTCCAGCCACTTCTTCCCTTCTTCTGGGTACTTAGCTGCAGAAGCCCTTTCTCCACTCTTGGCTCCTATTTGTTCTTCTATGTTGTGGCCCTACTGTGAGAATCCCAAATCCTTTTAATTAATTAAATGAATCAATGTACATAGTATACTATCAAGTGCTATATAATAATTTAGATAGCTTTTCTTGCCAAACTTGGAATGTTAGGCCTTTATCACCCTCTTTTTTTTCTTTTTTCTTGTGTCAGTCCTGGAATTTGAACTCAGGACCTAGGCACTGTCCTCAGCCTCTTTGTGCTCAAGGCTAGCACTCTCCCACTTGAGCCATAGTGCCATTTTTGTTGGTTTTTGTTGTTGTTTTAAGTAGTTTATTGGAGATAAAAATCTCACAGGAACTTTTCTGCCCAGGCAGGTTTTGATCCTCAATCCTCAGATCTCAGCATCCTGAGTAGCAAGGATTACAGGCATGAGCCACCAGCGCCCAGCTCATCAAACTTCTTTCAGTGCAAATGTAAGGAAACATTAAAATGATAAGGGACATGTGAAACTACTGATAGGCAGAGATTTTCCTACTTTTCCTTAATTTCAAACCTTTACCCAGGGTATTTGTATCTCAAGACACGAGCACACGACCCTCAACATTGTTCACAGTGCTCAGGGGCCTGCTTTTTTTTTT